CATACTCTCCTCTTCGCGCTTAGTCTCTCGTTCCTTTAGCACAGCCAATTAGGAAGGTGAGTGAGCCCTCAACCTGAGCGTTTTCGACGGATTCTTTTCCTTTTTTCTTCACTGCCGGCCCACTTGGCACCGATACATTCACATTCGTGTGCAAGAGCCACACCAGTGCGATCCTGGGGCATGCCTTTAAGGATTGTATTAATTAAAATCTGAAATGTTTCATTTTTAAAGCCAATCCCTAATTAGTTTATTGAATAATCGCTCCTATTAGTGAGGTAGCAGGGTCGCATGCACAGAGGTTGTGCCACTCCTGCGCTCAAAGGTGCGCGATAAGGGCTTTAGAGCCTTGGCAGTAGTCCCAATTATGGGAGCTTTTGCATTTACTGCCCGCAACAGCCCAGTCTGCGCCCTGTTCGGCGCGTATTCTCTTTCTGTGTCTTTTGCCAAGATCTACCGCACAAAAAAATCTATAATTTCAGTGTTTTTGATGTTTCCTTCACTTTTTTTCTGCTTTTGCTTTTTTTCTGCGGTTTCTTCACGTCGGGGTGAAGGCGAAGCGTTACGCGCGCCGCGCCAATTCATTCTGGAGGCTGGGCACGATCGCGCTTTTCCAAAAATTTCAAGGTCCCTTTCGAGGGTCTCGATACGAACGCTAATCATCGCCACGAGCAGCTTTAGTGGTCCCTAGTACGATCCCCGTACTACTTCCCCTCCCCCGACCACCATCCTCACCATCATGGCTATAATCCCGAGATTTTCTGAGAAGTGTAATTCCAATCTCTGTTTCCTTAAATTTTCGTCAGAGTCGTTAGAACCATAAAAAAACGACTCCCTCTTCTACAGTTACGACCCCTTCAACTTCCCAAATACGACCCTCCGTTCGCACTTCTCCAGGAGCTGGTTAAACCTGGTCAACCCAAATCACCCCCGCTCCCAAATTCCTAAACAGATTCCTGTTTGATAGCCTAGATAGACGGTTTACCCTTCGCTGAGTACTTTCTTAGATAGAGCACCCGAGGATTTTAGCTAAACGGCCGTCAGTAGCACCGGTCATGCATATTGTCTGTTTTGCCGCAAGCTGCTCCAGAAGGAACTCGGAGCAGATAGAAAGATTACACAGCTAAGAACTGCCACGCGCGATAACCCAGCCTCCGCCCATAGCCGCGATTGACCCACCTAACTACTACGTCGGCCACTAACACCTCGCTTCCTTTGAATTGTGCATCTGAATACAGACAATTACTGGTCTTGGGCTCCATGTTTAACCTGTAGGGAGCTTTCTGGTTTACAAGTATTTGTTTGCGGCAGGTACAGAGTGATTTACGGTCACAGATGGCCAGCGAAGGACTACGCACACGGGGTCAGGGCTGTAACGGACCCAAGTTCCGTTCACGTCTCCATCCCTGTGTCGCGGGTCGGTAGATTGGTACCGAATTTTTTCTCAGTGGACGAAAACACCGGTTTGTTCACCGGCTGGCTATCCCAAATTATAGTGTAGGTCAAAACGCATCGCCATTACGATCGTGAATGAAAGTTGGAAGCGTGGCGCATTCTGAAAGAGGTTGATCAACGCGGTATGTCTTATCCTTTTTGTTTTAGGAGCTGTTTGAGATGTTCACAATGGTTAATGATATTATACGACAAGCTAGGAACAAAGCGCAACGGGTTCGTACCTAGACCATTTTGATATTGTTTACCCACGGATTTAGGTTACAGTTTGTTTTCATTTAATGTTTTTCAGGTTCTAATTTACTCAGAGAATGGTCTGGCCGCGTGCCAAGCCTTCGCTCTCGCTTACAATATTCATTATTACCATTTGGATCTGCATCATGCGTTATGCAATTTCGAAAGGCTCAACTTCAAAATCGAAATCAATGACTACTTGAGAGATGTGCTGGTCAAATGGGCGGCGTCTTGTGAAGAGAATAGGGTGGGTCGAACAACCGCCTCACTTTGTATTTTTTGTTATACTGCTTTAGATTGTACTCTCAGTGATAATAGCAAATTTAAGGGAGTCGGAAGCCGAGTTCGCTTTGATAGTGAGATAAATGTAAACTTAGAAGACTCTTAACATTTGCTAGGATGGATGGTTTTTACGGAAGAATGCGCCTTAAGCTGTTTAGAGACACCCTGAAGCGCCAAAATCACCGCCCACTGGACGAGTAAATCCTGCGCAATTCTTGGAACTGAAGCTACGATGGTAGCGTAATGCCTAATTCTCGCCACTGCCCGCTAAGGGTAGTCAAAAACAACTCCTTCTGTTGCCAACGGTGTCTCTTGACCCATACTGTTTCGATCGTAACTGCACGCGCTGGCGGCGCTTGTTCAATGTTTACAACTGAACTGACCTTTTCAGCTTGTAACGCCCACATTAGCAAGAATTATTCATTTTTTCAATCAGTTTTGTGTCATCAAAAGCACCCTTACCAGGAAGGTCTTTCAAGGGGAGCCAAGCTTTTTCAAAAGGGTCTTTTGCATTACATAGGGGCACTTGCCGAAACCGCAGGAA